TACTAAAAGGAATTCGGAATCAATCATAATTGGCAAAACCTTTTTGAAAGAAGAATTTCTCATATATAAGGCACATAGATATCAAACAAGAAGGAGTTGTCATGCTGATTAGAAAAGACTATCATAGAAACAGTCATAAAAAAGGTTCAGGTCCAATTTATAGACTCAGAATGAGTCTGAGTGTTCAGGGTTTCAAAGTAGAACCCTAGTCCAAACACAAAATCGAACTTGCCAAAGAAACCCCCAAATTCTAGGGTTTTCACTCGAATCAGGCACAGAGATGAGAAGGCAATCTATTGAAACAGACTCAGAGGTCTCTTTCAGAGACTCATAAGAGACCAACAAACATGATAGCAGGTTTGAAAGCATAAAGAACATGTTTGAGAAAAGCTTCGGAATTTAAGCAAGTTCAGCAGAGAGAAGAAGTGATGTAAACTTAAGAAACAATAAAGGAAGCATGCTTAGAACTCAAACAAAGTCAGGTAAAGCAAACAAAATTTAAGAACTCAGTAGGAAAAACGTACAGTAGAAAAATACTGAAAATATAGCAAAGAACAGATAGAAGAACATAACAAAGATTGACATGCGAGCCTAGTCTAAAGGCACAGTAGAATACATAGATATAGAAGAATTGTGTATAGTAGGAAGAAAATAGAAGAACAACACATGCGTGGTAGAGAAGGAAAACACACGAGCATAATATAGACAAACACATAAAGAAAAGAATCAGAAAGATGTTTTGAAAACCTTTCAGAAACCCTAAATCGAAGAGAAACAATTTTGAAAGAAAAGATTGGGGAAAACACTTAAGAAATCCAGTATAACACAAATATATCACAGATCTAAGAAAACAAACAAAGAAAAACCTCGAATAGCTTAGAATTTTGGAGAAACCCTAGAAATGAGAAAGGCTCGGGAGAAACTCCGATCTGGAGTCGGATGAGGTGGGTTATAGGCTCCTAATGCTTGAATACGCCTGAGCATGGCCGGAGAGGCCATAGAACCATAGATCTAAGAAGGTCTGAAAGAGAATCATCGCGGTCAGACCTCAAAGCTTCGAACTCCCATGGTCTAATGGTGGAGGGGGGTGAGTACAGACCATCCATGGCCTGAGAAGCCATGGATTCCGGTGAAAGTACGGTGGAAAAGGGTCGGAGATGGTTAGGGTTCCTTCGAGAGAATTTTGGGAGTGGAGAGTATTCAAAGGTGGCGGACTAAATGAAATGGGGGGATTAGGGTGGGGTTGGTGAATTAAAATGGAAAGGGGTGATCCTGGCCGTTGATCAAAATGATCAACGGCCTGGATTGAAAGAAAATTCGGGCGGGTTTAACAAATGGGTTAAGGGGTTGGGTAAAATTGGAATTGGGCCGGTCCAATTGGGGTTAGGATTGGGTCAATTTGAGGGCTAAAATTGAAATGTAAATAGGCTGTAATTGCAAAGAAATGAGGCTAAATGTTAAATAGCCAGTTTTCCCTTTTTTTTTACAAAAATAGTAAAAATAATTTTAAAAGCAAATTAAAAGTACTGGGTCTGTTATTATCACATAAATATTAATTTAAAAATACTGGAACCAATTTTTATAATTAAAATGCTATTAAACTTAAAATAGGCTAGAATTGCAATTATATGCAATTTAGCTTTAAAATACCAAATAAATTTGTAAAAAATGTATAAAAAAAATTACCTTAACTATATTTTTGTATAAACATGAGAATAAAATAAATTATTCACCAAAGTTGAGGATTTTGGGAATAATTACTGATTTTGTACTGCTAAAAATGGACAATAAATTAATTTTAAAAATCTTTAAAAAGTTTAGAAAAATTACTAAAATCCTTAGGCATGCTTATATATGCATATATATATGTTATTTTGAAAGTATTTTGTATATGTGAAAATATGCAGGGAAAAATTGGGTATCAACATAAGCGGTTTGGCTTGATGGGTACTTCCCTATTTATTATCATGTGCGGATCGGGTGGCACGCCCCCACGGGTAAATGGTTGGATCTGGTGGTACGCTGCCACGGGTATGTTGCTTGGATCGGGTTGCTTGCCGCAACGGTGTAATGTTGAGTATAGTTCCCCCTATATCTATTATTGTGCGTTTTGCTTCTCACTTTTCGGGGAAGATTCATAACATTTTTTCGGTGGTTTAATCAGTTACGAGGGTTGAGTAGTTCATTCTAGAGTTCATTTTCCTTATGTATCATGTTCAAGTTGTGGCTTGTTGGCGCATTGATGGCATCATATGAGATTCTTAGATAGTGTTTGTGGTGGCTTAGCCGGAACGACTTGTACTGGGTGAGACGAGATTATTGGACCTGGGATCGGTGCGATCAGATTTATATAAGGCACATTAAAGAGTAAATATCGTTATTCAGTCCAGAATGAGGTAATGGTTCTTGTCGGGAGGAGAGACTCCATGAATTGTGATTCGGCAGGTGGTTATGGGTTCTATACATCTTTTCTGTCGTGGCAGCATTGCGGGAGTTGAAGCAAGGCTTATATTGGTCATGAGGTATACTACGAGCTTCGGGTTAGTGGAATTTTAGCTGTTGTGCTTGGGAAAGATTTGCGTTGGCCAAATGAGTTACACGGAGCATGGTATGAATTCAGTAAGGGTATATGATCGTGTTTGGTACAATGTGTAGTGACTGATACAGTGTTCGTGTGTTGGGAACAGGCCTAGTAGAGAATTTCGGATGTTGAAATTTGGCTTTAAGTCTTTTTGGCTAAACAAACCGGGGAATCTTCAGATTGGCTCGAGCTAATGTGCTCAACTGAGTTGTGGTAGCACGAGTAGGTGCACGAGGTGTTAAACAGTGATTTCAGACAACTCCGGAGCAGTCCTTAACAATTTCCATTACTGACATATGTTTAAGTGGGAGAGAATATAACAAACCGACTGGTCGTTCTCTAGCGCGTCGTTCGGCAGTTTGGTACCATGAGTAGCTTCACTTCAGGTATTATGACTTGTACGTGTGGTCGGAATTGAGTTTAGGAAAGTTCGGAGATGATTTAGAGAGAAAATTCTCATTTCAGAAGCTTTAAGTTGGGAGAATTCACAAAGGTGTTGACTAAACGATCTTGGAATCGGGATTTGAAAACTCCAACAGGTTCGTATGATGATTTTGGACTTGGGCGTAAATCTAGATCGGGTTTTGGATGACCCGAGAGCGTTTCGGCCCCTATGGAAGGATTTCCTAAATTTGGGTTGGAGTGCATTTCAATGTTATCAATGTCAGTTTGGGATTCCGAGTCTAGGAATAGCTACGTATGGTGATTTTGGTATTGTGAGCGCGTCCGGAAGTGGATTTGGAGGTCCGTAGGTCATTTCGGGGTCATTTGGCAAAAGTTGGAAATTTGAAGGTTTTTGGAAAGTTTGACCGGGAGTGGACTTTTTGATATCGGGGTCGGATTCTGATTCCGGGAGTTTGAGTAGGTCCGTAATGTCGAATGTGACGTGTGTAAAATGAGGTCAATCGGACGTGCAGATAGGTTTCGACATCGGACGTAGAAGTTTGAAGTTCTAAAGTTCATTAAGCTTGATTTGGGGTGCGATTCATTGCTTTGACGTGGTTTGATGTGATTTAAGGCCTCAGGCAAGTTCGTGTTATGTTTTTAGACTTGTGTGGGTGTTTGGTTTGGAGCCTCGGGGGCTCGGGTGAGTTTTGGATAGGTTTAGGTTGTGTTACGCTTGTTTTTGATGCTTCGTCGTCGTTTCTTCAAGTATAAATGGTACCACATTAAGCAAATGAACTCCAAATTCAGTTTTTATTGAACCATTAGATCTGTATCGTAATTACAGAGCCATAGCAAAAAGAATCGTCGAATTTAGAGATTGTATGAAAGAATTATGCCCATTTTCCTGTCGGGAAAAACTGCTAGTTTCTGTGTGGTCGCAATTGCGAACATCTCTATCGCAATTGCGATGGCCAGTTCGCAATTGCGAACTCTTTGTTGCAAATGCGATCTTTTCTAGCCCTGTTCTTTTTTGCAATTGCGAACCCTGGATCGCAAATGCGACATCTGCAACTTGTGTTCAGCTGTGTAACTCGGGTTTTTGCTTCATTTTATCATATTTTGAACCCTAGGTCCGAGTGTGGGCGATTTTGAGAGAGGATTTTCGTATCAAATTATTGGGTAAGTGCCTCTAACCAATTTTCAATTATAAGTTTATAAGGCAATCCGGAATTTCGTGGTACCAAGGGCGGGTATGTGTTCCACATATTGATGGTCTTCGGGAAAGAATCATGAAGGAAGATCACACTTCCTGGTATTTCGTGCACCCAGGTTCTACAAAAATGTATCATGATATCAAGAAGTCTATTGGTGGAATGATATGAAAAGGAATGTGGCAGACTTTGTGGCAAGATGTCCGAATTGTCAGCAAGTGAAGGCCGAACATCAACGTCCTGGTGGGTTAGCACAAAGCATAGAAATTCCAATGTGGAAATGGGAAATGATTAATATGGATTTTGTGGTAGGGTTACCGCGCACTCCGTGCAAGTTTGACTCAATTTGGGTTATTGTGGACCGACTCACGAAATCAACACACTTTTTGCCAGTCAAATCTACCGACATAGCGGAACAATATGCTCAGTTGTATATCAGGGAAATAGTCAGGCTTCAGGGCACTCTAGTTACCATCATTTCCGATCGAGGGTCTCAGTTCACAGATAATTTTTGGAAGAAATTTCAGTAAGGTTTGGGTGTGTATGTAAATCTTAGCACATCCTTCTATCCACACACTGACGGGCAAGCAGAGCGCACTATTCAAATGCTTGAGGAGATGTTGCGTGCTTGTGTTCTTGATTTCAAAGGTAGCTGGGATGATCATTTGCCACTCATAGAGTTTGCTTATAACAACAGCTTCTATGCTAGTATTCAGATGGAACCATTTGAGGCATTATATGGGAGGAGGTGTAGATCTCCTATTAGGTGGTTTGAGGTTGGAGAAGCTAAATTGATAGGACCAGGCATCGTACATCAGGCCATGGAGAAGGTTAAGATCATGAAGGAGTGGTTGAAGACCGCCCAGAGCCGTCAAAAGTCCTATTCGGATGTTCGTCGGAGAGACTTAGAGTTCAAGGAAGATGATTGGGTATTCTTGAAGGTTTGCCCCATGAAGGGTATTATGCGGTTTAGAAAGAAAGGGAAATTGAGTCCAGGTATGCCGGGCCGTATAGAATTATTCAGAGGATTGGTCATGTATCGTACAAGCTTGAGCTACCACCTGAGATGTCATTAGTGCACCCGGTATTTCATGTGTCTATGCTGAAGAAAGTAATCAGGGATCCGTCGCTTATCGTGCCAGTTGAGACTATTGAAGTTAATGAAGAGCTGTCATATGAAGGAATTTCAGTTGCCATTCTTGATAAGCAAGTCCGGAAGTTGAGAAATAAAGAAATTTCCTCCGTAAAAGTGATATGGCGAAACAACCAGGTTGAAGAAGCTACGTTGGAAGCCGAGGAAGAAATGAAAAAGAAGTACCCTGACTTGTTTGAATAGCCATGTAATAGTTACTATGAAGTTACTTCCTATAAATTTTGTATCACTTGTTCAATTAATGTAAAGGTGTTCTTTTGGGTTATATAATGCTTGCGAGGCCACGGTTGGTATTGTTATGTGTCACGACCCCAACCCCGGTCGTGATGGCGCCCAACACACTGCTAGGCAAGCCCGACCATTTCCACAACCTTGACCAAATAACCTAGGTGGATAAATGAATATTCACAAGTAAAAACAACAATTTAAATGCGGAATCTCTGAAATAATTTCTAACATTCGAAAATCCCAAGATAAAATACTAAATAGCCCACAGATCTGGCGTCACGAACATGAGCCTCTAAAACGGAATATTCACCTATCACAAGTCTGTCTAGGAAAGAAAAATACGAATAAAAGGATAAAATGGATGGGAGAGATCAAGGCTGCGAACGCCATGCAGCTACCTCGATACTCTCGGATAAATGCTGCTCCGCTAAACAAGTCCTCACTCACCCTGTGGTGTACCTGAATCTGCACACAAGGTGCAGGGAGTATTGTGAGTACTTCCAACCCAGAAAGTAATAAACATAAATAAGGGTTGAGAGTAAGAAATCCTGGACAGGCACAAAGTAAGCTATAATTACAGCGGCTCAATCTAAATAATATCAACTCAATAAACTAATGAAAATAATTATAGAAATATCACAACAGATGAATAAGTAAATGGCAATCAAGTATGCAATGCAACACATAAACCGGTACCTCCAGTACCCCGCTGCGGCCGTGCAGCCCGCTCCATTTATTTAACGTCGACGGCGCTCACTGGGGGTGTGCAGACTCCGGGAGGGGCCCTTTACGGCCCAAGCGCAATAATAAGCCATCTCGTGGCATCAAACAGGCCCTTGGCCTCATATCAATATCATTCTCATACCACTGCGGCGTGCAGCCCGATCCAATAATCAGTCCAAAATCACATAAGCCTTTCGGCACAATAGTATAAAAATATTCAGCCCAAACTTTATTTAAAAATATTAATTTAGTTTCTGCTTTAAGAAAAATGGCTGAGTTTACAAAACAGTGTCAAACACGAGGACTGAGTTCAATATCTATAAATATGGTAAGAAACCAGTAAAATAATCCCTGAAGGATTCAAGTAGTTGGCACGAAGCCCAATTATGACAATTAATCCATTTTATAAGGATATTACAAATCTACAATCAAATAGGTATCAATTTTATTAAACGGGACGGACCAAGTCACAATCCCCGACGGTGCTCTACCCCACGCCCGTTATCCGGCGTGCAAGTCACCTCCCATAGCACTACGTTGTGCAAATTCAGGGTTTCAAACCCTCAACACAGCATTTACATTTATTACTAACCTCAAGCCGGCCAAAGTCCTAGCTTGCTATGCCCTTGCCTTTCGAATTCACCTCTTCGCGCTTCGAATCTGACCAAAACCACAACGAATACGTCACAATATGCTAAGNCAGCTTGCATGCCCTGCCTTTCGAATTCACCTCTTCGCACGTCGAATCTGACCAAAACGACAACGAATACGTCACAATATGTTAAGGGAATATAACCCAATCGAAAAGACTCGAAAAACACCGAAAATTACGAAGTTGGCAAAACCCGAGCCCCGGGCCCACTTCTCGAAAAATTATAAATTTTACATCACCGGATTCCTTATCTCGCCGCGAGTCTATACATATAAAGAACACCAAAATCGGAGTCCAAATGACCCCTCAAATTCCCATTTTTTGTTCTCTTAGGTTTCAAGTCCTAAACCACCATTTTTGACCTTAAATCCTTGAGTTTTCAGTCTAATTTCATGTGTTTGCACCATAAAATCGTGTTTTTGGTTTAGAAATTCTTACCTCAATGAAGTCCCTTGATTCCTCTCCTCCAACTCGCCCAAATTCTCCAAGTCCGAAGTGAAAAATATGAAACCCTTTCAAAAAAATTCGCGAAGGGAAATAAAAACTATTCTGAGCAGTTATTTCCGCATCTGCGGCTCCATGGCCGCATCTGCGGCTCCCGCTTTTTCGGTCAATGCACCGCTTCTGCGGTTTAATATCCGCTCCTGCGCCTCCCGCTTCTGCGGACAAATTAACGCATCTGCGGATCCCCATAAGAGCTCAAATACCGCATCTGCGGTCCTCCTGTCGCATCCGCGACTCCGCAGATGCGGTCACCAATTCCGCACCTGCGGTCCCTGCCGCTTCTGCGTCTCTCCTCTCGCTTCTGCAGTACCGCTTCTGCGGTCCCAATTCCGCAGAAGCGAAAATACCAGAAGCAGCACAGGTTCTGCAATCTCTTAAGTTCAAAACTTCCCGCTAGCCATCCGAAATCACTCCAAGGCCCTCGGGACCTCAACCAAAAATACAAGCATGATCCAATACCTTATTCAAACTTGCTCCAATCATTAAAACACCTCAAACAACACTAAACCATCATTTCTCATCGAATTCAAGCCTAAGTTCTTCTAAAACTTCCGAAACACGCATTCGATCAGAAACCCAACCAAAACACCTCTGAATGACCTGAAATTTTGCACACATATCTAAAATCACCTAACGAAGCTACTGCAACTCTCGGAGTCTCATTCCGACCCCCGGATCAAAATCTCACCTACCCACCGGAATTCGCCAAAATACTAACTTCGCCAATTCAAGCCTAATTCTATACCAGACCTCCAAAATTACTTCCGATCACACTCCTAAGTCACAAATCATCCCCTGAAGCTAACCGAATCGTCGGAATCCACATCCGAGCCTTCTAACTCATAGGTCAACATCCGGTTGACTTTTCCAAAACAAGCCTTCCTTAAAGAGACTAAGTGTCTCATTTCTTATCAAAACCATACCAAACCAACTCTAACACATCAAATACTGATAATGAAACATGAAGAAGCATAACATGGGGGGAACGGGGCGGTAACTCACGTGACGACGGGTCGGGTCGTCACATCCTCCCCAACTTAAACAAACGCTCGTCCTCGAGCGTACCTAGAGTTGTTCTAGAAGCCAACCAATAGCTGAATAACTTTACCGTGCATATAACCGGGGTGATCCCACGTCACCCTATCTCGCATAGGTCCGATAACACAACATAGCTGAAATTTTCACAATCCATCTAGTCCATAAACCATAGAACCACCCTGCACTTTCCGAAATCATACACAAGATAAGAACCTCACATCTATATTCAAAATAAGCCTAAACCAGCTGTAATAGACCATGCCTGCAACCTTGGGTGCAATTATATGATATACCAATAACTCAAGCACACGCAGCCATAACTCCCATTCACAGCAACTGCCCACAACAACCAAGTACCGATAGAATTCTCTTATTAGCCAAAGTCTCATTCCAACACCTTAACATATACTGCAACTGTTAACTAAAACGTGCAGTAAGCCATCACCATTTCTCAGATCAACCATTCATGAAACCACTTCTCCTTTGGCAATTACTACATCAAATTTTTCTGAGTCGAAGCTCGACATTACCCTTCCAACATACTGAAATCGAATCCGTTCGTATTCATTAGTGACCCCAACGATCCTCAAATCCAACACACCACTCTGGTGATATGACACCTCAATACCGGCCTAAGCCACAACTTGCATAATACGCGTACCAATAAGAAACGGTCTGAACATACTCAAATCATGAAAATGACTCAAACGAAAGAGCGGTACCTCAAGCTCATCAGAACTGCCACAACACAAGGCTGAGACCCTGTCTCACATCATAGAATAGAACACACAAGTTTGACCCGCAAGGTCATATTTCCACACGGCTTTGTTGCAACGCGCGATCCTATCTAAATACTACTTCACCTGGAACACCTCTAGTCACTATGCTTGAA